ACCACACCACACCCCAGCCCCTCATCCTCCAGCCCAGGGACGAGGTGCCCCTCATCCTCCAGCCCAGGGACGAGGTGCCCCTCATCCTCCAGCCCAGGGACGAGGTGCCCCTCATCCTCCAGCCCAGGGACGAGGTGCCCCTCATCCTCCAGCCCAGGGACGAGGTGCCCCTCATCCTCCAGCCCAGGGACGAGGTGCCCCTCATCCTCCAGCCCAGGGACGAGGTACCTCTCATCCTCCAGCCCAGGGACGAGGTGCCCCTCATCCTCCAGCCCAGGGACGAGGTGCCCCTCATCCTCCAGCCCAGGGACGAGGTGCCCCTCATCCTCCAGCCCAGGGACGAGGTGCCCCTCATCCTCCAGCCCAGGGACGAGGTACCTCTCATCCTCCAGCCCAGGGACGAGGTGCCCCTCATCCTCCAGCCCAGGGACGAGGTACCCCTCATCCTCCAGCCCAGGGACGAGGTGCCCCTCATCCTCCAGCCCAGGGACGAGGTACCTCTCATCCTCCAGCCCAGGGACGAGGTGCCCCTCATCCTCCAGCCCAGGGACGAGGTACCTCTCATCCTCCAGCCCAGGGACGAGGTGCCCCTCATTCTCCAGCCCAGGGACGAGGTACCCCTCATCCTCCAGCCCAGGGACGAGGTGCCCCTCATTCTCCAGCCCAGGGACGAGGTGCCCCTCATCCTCCAGCCCAGGGACGAGGTACCTCTCATCCTCCAGCCCAGGGACGAGGTGCCCCTCATCCTCCAGCCCAGGGACGAGGTACCTCTCATCCTCCAGCCCAGGGACGAGGTGCCCCTCATTCTCCAGCCCAGGGACGAGGTACCCCTCATCCTCCAGCCCAGGGACGAGGTGCCCCTCATTCTCCAGCCCAGGGACTAGGTGCCTCTCCACGTCCTCTACCCAGAAGAGCTCCCATCTCTGCACCCCCTCCATCCCAACAAGGCATATCAACTCCACCAGCTCCCCTGTCCCGCTGTGGCTCCCTCCCGCTTTCCAGACCACCACACCACACCTCAGCCCCTCATCCTCCAGCCCAGGGACGAGGTGCCCCTCCATGTCCTCTACCCAGAAGAGCTCCCATCTCTACAACCCCTCCATCCCAACCAGGCATGTCAACTCCACCAGCTCTCCTGTTGCTCCCTCCCACCTTCCCTTTTATACATTTTTTTATTTTATTTTTACTTTTATTTTTATTGGTGCTATAGCATGAAAAACTGGTGACATACATGACAAACGAGGCAGAAAAGATCAAAGTAAACAACAACAACAAACAAAAGATCCCCACTCATATTTGCAGGAATGCTTCTCAGTTATAAAATCATACTCAGAACTGTCCAATTACTCAATTAACTGGTCAAAATCCACTCTCCTAACCTTCTGAACACAAGGGAGCCCTTTCCACAAAGTTTCACCTCCTCACTGGTAATATTAAATATCTAGGAATCAACACCTCCCCCAAGCTGTCAGAGCTGTTCAACCTAAACTTCACATCATTACTGAATTCAATACAAGATGACTTAAATCACTGGACTAACTTACAGATTTCACTTTCTGAAAGAATATCAACAATAAAAGATTTAAGATTTACTTTGTCAAAAAATGTAAATTCTTCCAAAAATCAATTATTTGTATTGAATGATTCCCACCCAACCCATCACCCCCTGGCTCAAATGTCTTGACTCATTTATCTCAAAATTGTATTGGAAAAACAAAATTGTTTCAAAATGTCAACTTTACAGAAAGCTAAATCACAAGGGGGGGCTAGAGGCACCCAACTTTGAAATGGATCACCTGGCCAATCAACAAAATTTCCTTAAAAAAGAAAATGGCTAAACCCCTCCCAACTTCAATCACACTGGATTGAAACTGAACAGACTTTATGCAATAATATAAACATATCAGACCTCCCATTTATCAGTCAAAACATCAAACATCATAACCGTTTCAAAAATATAGCCTCGGCTCTGACAGCTCGGTGGAAAGCACTCCACAGTCGCACCATCCACCCGCTCTCCAATGTGGAATAACCCAGACTTCACATTGTATCTCTCCTCAGGCATGTCAACTCCACCACCTCAAACATGATTTGATTTGATTTTTACACATAACTGCACACCTGCAGGTAAAAGCTATACACAAGTATTCTGCTCTGCTTACATCACATTTACATTCTCATTTGTAATAATGTGTATTTTTTTTTTACCAATGTGTTTTAATTGAAATGTACCAATCACTGAGGGTTTGTTTTTCTGAGAAGATACAGCAGGAGTTTCAACTACGTTTGGGTTCATTTAAAGTAGATGTGGTTTATGTGGTTTGCTGTTTTATGCATTCCTTTGCAGATAGGCAGTAGGACATGGAAGAGAAGTTTGCCAGCCACACGCTGTGATTTTAGGATTCTCTCAGGATGATGTCCACGTCTTGTGGTCATCCTGTTAGTGTAAGTGTTCTCCAGAAAAGAGTGCCTTGCTCTATTAGTGATGGACACTGGAATCCCAGTTCAGGGTTCTATGTTAATGAATTGATTTTCTTTTTGGTGCAAATCATGTTTAACTGTAATAAGTGGAACTTTGGAGCTACTGGGGCGGCAGTAGCTCAGTCTGTAGGGACTTGGGTTGGGAACCTGAGGGTCACCGGTTCAAGTCCCAGTGCGGACCATATCTGGAAGTTGGTCTGGTAGCTGGAGAGCTGGAGAGGTGCCAGATCACCTCCTGAGCACTGCCGAGGTGCCCTTGAGCAAGGCACCAAACCCCCTCCCCACCACCAGCTCAGCAGCGCCTGCCAGAGGCCGCTCCGTCACTCTGACATCTCTCCATAAGTGCATGTCCATAGGATCCTGTTTGTGCATGTGTGTGTATATTTCAGCCTATGTATGTTGCATGACTTACAGAGTGTAAAAAACAGAATTTCAAGAAAGTAAATCTTAATCTTTGTCTAATTGTCTCTCAGTTCTTCGGTGATTTGAAACCAACAACATTATTCACATTCACAAGCTGTAAACAACCTCATTATGTTCATCACTGAATGAATGCAAACAAACTGCTCCTCCAGTCTTTAGCACATGAAGCACTACTACAGAGCATGCAATGAGGAGAAACATTGAGTCAGTGAACGAGCTGAAAAAATATGTTGGAAAAGATGCATCCATCTGTGAAGGCTTGCTTTTGTTTCTGAACCTGACAGCTGATTTTGTTCATGATGATTTCTAAAAATTGGTGATCATTTGTTTACTCTCAAGGCCTGTAGCCTCTCAATTCAGAGATAAAATTGAGAGTGCACATGACAAAATGTACTGTTGGATAATTGCCCGAAGCTTCTGATTAAGGTTGGGCCAAGATCCCTGTGGAATATTTTTAACTATTTCGAGTCAATGATGTCTTGTCAAATGTAGGTGTTTATTTGTTAGGTGTGGGCACAAAAGAGTTAATAAAACAAGCGCTATTACATTGTGCAGTAGTGTGTTTTTTTGGCATTATACATACATTGCAGCACCAAATTCAAAAAAACGAAATTTAAAGGTATATCAATTTAAGACAGATTATTTCTGTTTAAAAGCCATGCTTAACTAGATTTAAATTAAACCTGACTCACTACTTTATGTCTTTATTTCTGTCGGTCTCTGTGTAGAAACGGTTTATTTTTCACTCTAAGCCAGCTTTATACTAAACTGTGTCTTGGATGGAGCATCTGTTGTCTGCGTTACAGTCACATTCAGCACATGCCATTTCAGTTTTATAAACAATCATGCAAGATGAGATAAGAATTCTCAAAGCGCTTACTCAAATAAACTAGGCTACAGCATCTGACAAGCAGGAGGGAAACAAAGAAATTGGAAGGAAGAACAGAGAGTACTTGTTAGTGCCAGAGTGTAGAAACAAACAAGAGACAGCTGAGACTTTGCTGTAAATATGGCATGCATTGTTGCTGTAAATGCCCAGAAAATCTTAAGAGCTCATACATGTGAATCAACTAAAATGACAGATGATTTTTAACTCTCAGACATGGATCAGATCAATGATGACATTTAACGACGTTTGCTTACCTCGTTATCCATTTGGGAGCCTATGGATGCTGTTCACATAATCTGAACTGAGATTTTGGAGAAGGCCGAGAAGGGTTCCTCAGAGGTCTAATTGAAATGGATCTTGTGTTTCCTCTCCGCTGCAGAGATAACATGTATGAGTATCCCAAGGTTACCTGTGACATGACACCTAAACCACCTGGCAGGCAGCTCGTTTAAGATGTCGTCCACCCACGACGAAGATCAAACATAACACATTACCTGCTCTTTTCAAGACAAGCGCTTAACATCTTGATTCTCGAGGTTATCCAAAACATAAATCTGCCTAAGGTTACCTTTACGTGACCACCACACGTCGACGGTTGTTATATGAATTTTACATCATAAATAGCAATAGTGTTAGGCATTTCTGAATTAACGTAACACGGTTATCTTACTATTTTGTACACAGCCAGTACAGTTGTCGGATAACCTTTTATTGCACAAGTAAATGCCGGACGGGGAACAACGTCTACAAGCTGCCTAACAGCTCCGTTAGCACAGACGCTAACAACAAACGGAACGGCTAGTTAGCATTAGCATGTAGCTTTCTTGACAACATTAAACGCAACAAAAGCTTCGTTCTCACAGACTCGCACAACAGTATGTTAGCAATATTATATACCAGAAACGTACCGTCACCATAAACCATTAACTAATTATGTATTCTCTTTGGAAGTCGCGAGTTTTGCTGCGCTTTCTCATGTGTCCAGTGAGTAGTGTTGGTTAGTAACCAGGTCCACCAATGAAAACAGTCGCATCAGGGTGAGCCACGCCCCCAGCCTGTCCACTCCCTCCCTTTGCTTCTCCAGTGTCCAGACCAAGAGATCTGCCAAGCTGCACACATCTGGAGCACAGTGGTATGTCAATGAGCATGAAAAAGCAGGAAGTTTAAAAACTAAGAGAACTTATAAAGATTTCAATTTCAAACAGTCAAAAGTTCAACACTGTTTTTATTTATTATAAATCAATACATTTTATATAAAAAGGACAAAGAGGTCTGAAACAAAACCATTTTAGATGTAAACCAAACAGAGCAGGTTATGGCCACCCTTCTTTCCACACTGGACCCATATTGCAGACTCTTGATTAGCCAGCATGTCTAGTTAATACTCATTCACTCATTTCAAAACACCCTGGGCTATACTGTGAGTTCCACCTACAGTTTGAAAAGGTTTAAAATGGAAATAATGTGGTTGACATCAATCTCTCTGCAAAACATTGCATGTATAGCCACAAAGCATGCCATTGGTTTTTTGTGTACTCCATTACAACCATCACCAGCAGCAGTCAACATTATTTGTGGAGTATGCAGAGATTGTTTCTGTTAATATGGTAGTTCAGGGATGTGACTATCTTGAAGGCATGAAGGTAAACAATGAAAGCATTGTGAGGTGGCCCACTGTTAATGGTGATAAATTAATGCACCAAGACCTAGTTCAGCCAAATTGTTGTGTACCAGATTTCCTCAAATAAGGAATCCAAGAGAAAAGCCAGCATCATTGTGTCGTCAACACTTAACCGCTTCTTGAAAATAAGTGGACATTAAGATGGTTTATGCTAAAGGTCAAAGGAGCACAAACAGCTGCTTAAACATGCTAAAGTGCTAACTGCACGAGCAGCACTCAAATACTCAACGCAGAAGAGTGTGGGTCTGTGGAAACCAATGTTTTTTTAATGCAAATTACAATTTGTAGTAAATTAAAAATGGAATGCCCTAATGACAGAACTGTAATCCATTACTGCAATATTGCAGCCCAACAGTTGTAAAGGCAATATACTGTATGTGCAATCAATTAATATTCACAGCACTGCAAGATAAAAACATACAATCCATCGGCATTAGCTAAATCAAGTCGAGTTCCATGACCATGACACACGAATCTCGTATTTTGTAGATGCATAATTATTTGTCCACAGGTCTGCCAAATTTACCTTCTTATTTATTATCAACTAGTTCCTTGCACAAAAAATATAAGCAGTGTTACTTATTCAAAATTAACTGTCTATGTGATAAATGTGGGGAAGTTTATGGCTTTTTGACACCTGTATTGAAACCAAGCCTTTAATGAGCTAACTGCTGGGTTATGGTAGGTAGGTATATGTTAAAATGGACCACATGTCCAGTTACTAAAAACACTCATGGGAGGAGAAAAAGTAAAACAATAACTTAAATAGAAGTGCTTAAAACATAACAGTTCTTAGAGCCCTTTCAAAAACCAAAAAAACAAGGTTGCAAGCAGGAATCCCACCCGACAGAAAAGGAGAGCCAAATGAACAGCTGTCCTTGTAATACTAATATTCATCCAATGATTCACAGATGCACAGTTCACAGGTAGGTCACATCCTTCCCTCCCTTAAAAATATTGAATGTTTCCTGGTCAGTGGCCTCCCCACGTCTGTGAGCCGCGGCTTCCCTCTGTTTCATGTCTGTCTGTGGTGGGGGAACACTCTGTCTCAGTACACCTCCCCTCGTCCTCTCTCGCCTTCAGTGCCTGTTCCTCCTCTTTTTTCCTGCGCTCCAGCTCCCATTCCACGAACGTGTCAAAGAGGCTGGGCCAGGCCTCGTCCTCGCTGTAGTTGCTCAGATCGGGCCCGATGGCCTGGGTGAAATTGAGGAACATGTTCCACGTGTCCCTCGAGATGCCCCGAATACCTGAGGGGTTCTCTGCCAGGAAGTCCAGCCAGCGCTCCAGGATCGCAGGTGTGTCCTGGGTGAAAACTAGGCGCCACAGGGCAATCGCAATGTCGCGCTGCAGCGACCGTTGTCCCTCATCGGCGTCCAGGCCGAACTGGAAGGTGAAGCGGTAGAGGTCCTTGAAGTTTTCCTCACCCTGGGCATCCAACAGCATGCAGGGGAAACGTGAGCAGATGCCTTCCAGGCTGTCTGCTTTGACGGCCCTGCAGCCATCAATGAATTCCTTCCTGGAGACACAAAGTCAAAATGTTGACGCATCAGTGATACTGAAATAAAGGATACAGAATTATATTACGGATGAAGAGAGTAACCTTTGAGGTTTAGAAATGTTGCTGTTTTGTTCCCATTAGAGGCTGTTTAAACCATTCCATTAAAAGAAGTAACTCAAAAATGGTTCAAGTGCAAACTATCATATGGATTGACATGTATTTCCATCATTTCAGATATCGAGGATTTATAGCTGACTAACTGTATTCTCCATCTGCATTGTGCTGTTTTTTGTTTTTTTTATACATCCCTCTCAGTTTGACTCAATCAGGAACGGGGCAAAAACTCTTGATTTACAGAAAAAAAAATTCAACCCAGGAATATGTCCTGCTTTACTTACACTACAACAGCACAGGCCTCAAAAGCCAAATGTTAAATAAACAGCTTCAGTAAGCATCCATTGACAATGAAACAGGTCGGTAACCAAAGTGCAGTGTTGTCCAAAGCCTCTGGATGAAAAAGTGCTGAGTTAAGAATCGGAGAAGGGGGGGTGGGGGGGGGAGAGAGTAGTGAGTAGTGCCCGGCCAGCAGGCAGCCCTATTCATCTCTTACACTGGCTGCAGAGTGGGACAGTACAGCAGGATCCATTTCCTGTGTGCAACCATACCTGCTGCCACTAGAAAACTATTTGTTTGTGTGCATGTTCAGTTTAGTTGAGGCATTAATAACTGTGTTCGAGGTGGGGTAGATGAAAAGACCACTACATAGTACAAGGCCTATAGGGTCAAACTGCAGAGGGGGTAGAAGATGACTCTGTGGATAGAGCAGAAGTCATCATGCATCAAGCTAGTTGTAAACACAACAAAAATTTGGTTTAATGGGATCAGGCATGGACTGGCTGAAAACAGTTTCAGTATTCAAATTTACAATAGATACATTAACTTAATTGTTTCCAGCTACTTTGTTTAGTCGTCATGCGTTTTCAATTATGCACCTCTTATTATACCGCTCCACACATCGTGTGTGTTTTTAATAATAAGTCTTTCCACAAGTGGAAGTGTACATACCTGGTATTATTCTATTATTGTATTTTTTCTGCCTTTATTTAACTGATGTACATATGTTTGATTTTTAACTTCTTGTTATTTTTAATAATTATATTCCTGTTTCCTGCTTTCTTGAGCTGTTGTAATGAAAAAATTTCCCCCATGGGGGATCAATAAAGTTTATCTTTATTACAGCTTTCATTTACTTTCTTTTTAAACAAGTTTCTTTGAAAAGATGAAATGTTTGGAATTTGTCCAAAATGTTCTCGGGATGCCCAAATGTTCAATTTACAGCTTGATTAGTAAATCGGTAGAGGACTCGAGTTAACATACTGCACAGCAGTTGGGGTGATGTTCTCCTTATCACAAAAAGGTTTCAATCCCAACCAGAAGTCAGGTTAAAATCAATCTGTGTTTAGAGATGTGTTTTAAAAGCAAACCACTTTTTGAAATATTGTTATGTCAGAATAAAAGTGTTGATGTGGAATTTGTATTAGAACAATGACAACACAGTAAATGTTGGTTGCTTGAGTGAAATAAAAGTCCTCTGAAGAGAATAGTTGGCCAACATAAAAAAAATATCTAAGGCTCTCTGTTGTGTTACAAAAAATAAAAAGCCTATATTAGTCCATGGCTATAGATTAAGTTAAAAATGTGTGCAGGACTAACTCTTCAGAGATCAGGGTCAGACCCTGATGAAGGCTCTGATGAACTGAAACATACACATTCACACACTGATCAAGCAGCAGTGGGAGCAATTTGGGCTTCAGTGTCTTGCCCAAGGACACTTCAACATGTGGCTGCAGGAGGTGGGTATCGATCCCGTGACCTTCTGTTTGAAAGATGACAGACTCCACCACTGAGCCACAGCCTAACTGTACGATTAACGGGCACAACCTGAGAGCTCACACTGTCGAGTGAAGTAAGGACAAAATTCAAGTCGGATCTTTGTTTAAGTTGTCTCTATGCATGGCTCAATTACACGGTCAAAAACACACATGCATGTCAACCTGGATCCATATATCGATCGGTTGTCCAAAACATCCGTCTACATAGTCATCTTTTCAAAGCGCTTTTATTTAGAAACCGTATTGTATTGTTGATGTCCTGGGTTATATTAAGGGTTGTATAGGGTAAGCAGAAATAAGCCTTGGGCTGATTGTTTGAATTTAATTGTGTGAAATGGACCAGTGTAAAGATGTGAAATGTTTGATTTTTATGTATCTGTAAGTGGACTATTCACACAAATGAAAAAGAAACATGCATGTTTATGTTCAGCATTCAAAGGTAATCAGAGGCCTTTAAAGTTAAATGACGACGAAACACTTGCAATCAAACATAAAAAAGTAAATCTGCTTTTTTTTTCTGTGATGTGTAACTTTGAAATCGATCTCAGGCCCTTGAATCAGCTTGGACAGCTTTGTTAATTAAAATCAAAAACTGTGGTTTCCCATTATGTTACATTAAAGATCTGATGGGAGAATTCACTTTAGTTTACTTTTTGTATTTTGACATTTTATGGGTAGACATTGAATCTAAAAATCAGAGAGATATTGACACTTTATAGTTTGTGTCTAACAGAAATTGCAAATATAAAACTAATATCAAGATGCAAGATTTAGCACGTGACTTAAATCAGTCTGTGATCATCTCCACGAGTGTTGGCAGATACTACTATAACCTATAGTTAAGCAGTTGTTATGCTAGTTCATCCTGATCAACAAATACCAGTGACAAGAACACGCCCCATTCCCCAAAAAACTCCACCTTACCTTGTAAACTTGCACATGGTAGCTGCTTGAAACTTCCAGGCAAGAACAAGCACCCGAAACTCTGCAGGATCCACACACAGGTCATTACAAAAGCTCTCCATCCCTTCCTCCAGGATGGCGTCTTCATGTTTGTCCTTGTAGCAGCAGAACAGCTCTTCGATGCGCGACAGTGACAGCCCGTCTCCATCCAGACTCTCGTCCTTGCGGGGCTCCCCCATCACTGCAGGAATGACGGGCGTCTCCACGGTGACCTCCGGGGCCTTGGTGCCATTCGACAGCTCGCTGGTGGCTTTGCTACATGGGGCGCTGGGCTCGTCCTTGTGGCCCCCGCCGCCACCTTTCTTGTGGTGGGACTTGGAGCCGCTCTCCTTGTCTCCACTCTTGCTGCCGAGCGAGGACGTCGGGTTCTTACACTTGGTGACACACTGGCCCATGTCTTCCTCCCTGGTCCCACGTCGGTCTTCTCACCTTCAGTCCCCGTCGGAACCACCTGGACGCCTCTGCTCTGGTCTGGCAGGACGTCTCAACATGCCCTCAGGCCTGAGGACAAGAACAACAAGAACATTTTCAATTTTCATAGAGTTTGGATCGAAACCAAGGGAGTCTTACTCACTGTGGGTAGGTCAAAGGTCAAGATCCACACTTAAAAAATTAACTATGGGGGATTTTTTAAATGCTGAAGGGCAAGACATTAAGCTACCTCTGCCAAATTAGTCACAATGCAGGTGGTGCACTGCAGACTTTAAGAGGTTAAAAGAAAATAAAACAACAGTTTATACTTATTCAGAGAATGTATATGACCATAGAAACACTACAAACTCAACTGAAGGAAAACATAATGATTAACCTCAGAAACTTTCTGAAATAGAAATGCTTTGTGTGAGTAATCACTACTCAACTTAAATCAGCCCTCTTGTGTCTTTCTTGGAGCCATTCAAATATGACTACATTTGTAAAAGTTGATCTCATTATAAGCCTACTAACATAATTGATTGACATTTCCCTTTATGATGTTGATACGACACATTGTTTTTGAAATCTCTGTTTCTCACAACTTCTCTCTGATTTGCTTTATCACAAAGAAGCATAGTAAGGTTTCCTGGCACAACTCCACCAACTACTAAGGTGCATGAAGAGTAAAAGGCTTGAAGCGGTCAAAAAGCTCCAGCAACTCTTGTAGTATGAAGATCAATTTGATAAACTTGATTAGACCGACACGTTCCGGCTTGTGGCCTTGGATGACCCTGATGAAGGCCACAGGCCGAAACGTGTCTAATCAAATTGATCTTCATACTAGAAGAGTTTCTGAGCT